CTGGCTTAGTTGCTGCGGGGCATGTGGGATCCCAGACCAGGGATCACAGTCATATCTCCTGCTTTGGCAGGTGCATTCTTTACCACTGAGCCACCAGAAAAACCCCATTGTTTTCTTTGTCATTTGTTTCTGTGTATTTTTTTTTTTCTTTGATTTCTTTAGTGATCTCTGTTATTGGTAGCACGGTGTTTAGCCTCTGTGTTTGTGTTTTTTTTTTTTTTTTTAACAGTTCTTTTGCAGTGTCAGATGTAATTTCTCATTTTCCCCTGTAATTGATTTCTAATCTCGTAACATTGTGGTTGGAAAAGATGCTTGGTACTATTGCAGTTTTCTTAAATTTTCTTAGTCCTGAGTTGTGAGCCAAGAGGTGATCTGTCCTGGGGAATGTTCTGTGTGCACTTAAGAAGAGTGTCTATTCTACTGCTTTCAGGTGGAATGCCCTGTGCAGTGCTTAGTCGCTCAGTCGTGTCTGACTCTTTGTGATCCCATAGCCTGCCAGGCTTCTCTGTCCATGCGGATTCTCCAGGCAAGAATACTGGGGTGGGTTGCCATGCCCTCCTCCAGGGCATCTTTCCAACCCAGGGATTGAACCCAGGTCTCCCACATTGCAGGCGGATTCTTTACTGCCTGAGCCACCAGGGAAGCCCCAGAATGTCCTATAAATAGCAATTAAGTCTGTCTGGTCTGTTGTGTCATTTAAAGTTTGTGTTTATTTTCTGTCTGGATGATCTGTCCATTGGTGTCAATGGGGTGTTAAAGTCCCACATTATTGTGGTACTGTCGATTACCCCTTTTCTGGCTGTTAGCACTTACCTTATGTATTGAGGTGCTCCTATGTTGGATGCATAAATATTTATAATTGTATCTTCTTCTTGAATTAATCCCTTGATCATACTGTAGTGTCCTTTGTTATCTCTTGTAACAGTCTTTATTTTAAAGTCTGTTTTATCTGATACGAGTATTGCTTTTGATTCCCATTTGCATGGAATATCTTTTTCCATCCCCTCATTTTCAGTTTGTATGTGTCCCTAGGTCTAAAGTGGGTCTCTTGTATATAACATATATATGGGTCTTGTGTTTGTATCTATTCAGCTAGCCCTTGTCTTTTGGTTGGAGCATTTAATCCATTTACATTCAAGGTAATTATCAATATGTATGTTGGTGGGTTTTTTCCTTCTCTTGTGTTTCCCGCCTAGAGAAGTTCCTTTAACATTTACTGTACAGCTGGTTTGGTGGTGCTGAATTTTCTTAACTTTTGCTTGTCTATGAATCTTTACATTTAGGTCTTTAATCCATTTTGAGCTTATTTTTATGTGTGGTGTTCTAACTTCATTTTTAACATGTAGCTGTCCAGTTTTCCCAGCACTGTTTATTGAAGAGACGGTCTTTTCTCCTCTGTATAGTCTTGCCTCCTTTATTGTAGATTAATTGACCATAGGTGGAAAAAACTCAGATTTTATAGCTGAGGAAACTGAAGTACAGAGGTAATTTGCCCCAGTTCACAGTGAGTGAGTGGAGGAGCAGAAGTTGAAGCCAGGCTGTCTGGCTTCCAGGCTCTGAATCCTTCTGGAATGCCAAGTGGCAGTAGATGCAAAGGAAAGCATCTTGGAGAAGAGGTTGGTGAGCTGAAAAAGTTGTCCAGACAGAGGGGGGTTGGGTAGGGGTGGTCTCACAAGGAGGAAGCTTTGTGAAAAGGAAGGAGGCATGAAGTAGAAAAAAGGGCATGCATGGGGCTGAGTGAGTAGCTAGGTCCTGTTGGGACTCACTGGGAGGTTCATATTGATGGGAAATAAGGCTGGAGAGAGGGGCAGGTCCCAGGCATGCAGGAACTTGGATGTTGTGGTAAATAACTCTATCTGTGGACAATGAGGATATAGGTAAAACTGGAGGCAGAGTGTGCAGTTAGCAAGCTGTTACAATAGCCTTAGCTTAATTTTGGCTTTCAAAATGTTGTTATCAGCAATTGGGTTGGAAAAGACCAGGGATGGATTGGGGAAATACTAGAGGAGGTAAAACTGACCGTGGTAAAGGTTTGATTTGGACAGTCAGTGTTCCTAACAATACAGCACACATATCCTTTTGTGGGGGCTGGAGGTGTGGGAAGTGTACTCAGCCTGAGGAAAAGCACAGCTGGCTGTTGGAAATTTGATGCAGCTGGAGGTAGGGTGAAAAAAAGGAGAGGTAGGAATTAAATCCTGCCCAGTACACTCGGCCCTGACACGTCTTTATATTTCTGCATTTTTCCAACACACCGAGTCTGTGATGAGCAAGGCACTGCGTATCTGCAGCCGTGGACTGAGGTGGGCCCTCCCTCGTGCCTCGTGCGTGCAGTGAGGGTCCGCGGGGCCCGGAGCGGAGCAGACAGTAAATGTCTGTTGCCTGTTAAACACTTGAGTTAATGACACAGCCTGGCTGATGGCATCTTTTTCGCAGTTGCCTTTCCCACAAGCGGACACAGAGGGCAGATGTTCTGTATCCTTGTACTATTCAGAGGGCCTCAATCCTGCACTGGTGGTTTTCTGTTTTTTAATTAGGAAGGACTTGAAGGAAACAAGTGGGGTGGCCCTAATCTCTTTAATAATGTACTGGGTGTTTGAACTCAACTGATGAGGCTTCCTCTTCCCCAACAGAGTCACTCAAAATCACTATTCCACTGGCATTTGAAATGCTCAGTAAGAACAGAACCTACAAGGATTCGGGGAACAAGAGTTTTAAGATCTGACCCTCCTGTCGTCTCCTTCACAGGTCCAGCACGCTTCTCATCCCAGTAGACACCAGCTTTCCAGGGAGCCTGGGTAGCTTGAGCTCCTTGTTTGTATCCCTCAGAGGGGAGAAGCGTGGGGGACTGACCCGGCGCTTTAAAGACGGGGGTCTCCCCAGCCCCTTCCCGCAGCGCTGCCCTGGGGAAGCTGCGTAAAGGGCAGCGGTGACGACCTCGATCAGAGGGTACGGTACTCACGAGGTCCCCGTGGGCACTGCCTCCAGGGCCGTGCGGGGGGACCTGCCGTAGAAGGAAACACGTGAGAAGAAAAACAGTCCAGTAGGGGACCCGAGTGTGGAGAGGACTGTTTGTTGTGACCGAACCCCCTCTCTCCGGAGCTGCCGGAGCACAGGCGGGTCCCAGGGGCGCTGTTGGCAGCGCCCCAGCTGTGCCCAACGTGGCCCCATCCTCTCTAGCCCAGGGAGCTGGACGCTGCCCTGGTGACCGCTCCTTGGACCGGCTGGGCACCTGCTGCTCCCTGTTTCCCGAACCCCGGCTGTGCCTGTCCAGTTAGGACCACATGGTGTCATCTCACAAGAAAAGAGGATTTCCTAATGTGACTGTGAGCTCCTCAGAGACAAGGAGAAAGTAACATCTTTGAAACCCCTCCAGCATCTGTCTAGCTTGGTGCTGAGACTCCTCATTCTTGATTGATTAATCACATGCAGCTTTCAGTTTCTACCAGTTTTTGTTCAGATAATGATTTACAATTATATTGCTTTTAAGAAACAAAAGATGAAATGTTCCAGACATGTCTTTTTCTGCTTAAGAAGTAAGAAATATTTTCATGAAATACTAATTTTATTCTTAAAATTTTTTCATTGGTATAACTTTGAGGTAACAGTTCGAGTTCTCAAGTACCAGCAACTGGAAAAGGCCTGTCTAATTAATTGTTAAATCGAGAGTTATCTGTAAAAAAGCAATCATTTAAAAACTAGAGTAAACCAGGAAGCTATTAAGGAGTTTTATTATAGTTTTTGTTTTGTTTGCCCAGGACAGCGGGTGGTAAGGTCTTTATGCCTGTCCCACAATGAATGCTTTATTTTATAAGCATACATTTTGGAAGCCTTTAAAGATGAATAATAGCTTTAAAAAGAAGAGTCAAGTTAATGTCGTCTATAGATACTGAAAATTGATTTCTGGCTTAGGCTTCAGTTTCAGAATCTATATAACGGTAGTAATTTTTTTTTTAACATTTTTTATTGGAATATAATTGCTTTACAGTGTTGTGTTTCTGCTGTACAATGAAGTGAAGCATCTCTAAGTATACAAAATCCTCTCCTCCCTGGGCCTGCCTCCAGCCCATCTAGATCATTATAGAGCACCGGGCCGAGCCCGCTGCGCTACTCAGCAGGCTCCCACTGGCGGTTTCACACGTGGTAGAGTATATGTGTCAACCCTGATCTCTCAGTTTGCCCCACCCTCCCTTTCTGCCCTCTGGTGTCCATATGTCCATTCGCTGCATCTGAGTCTGTACGAAAACAGGGTCATCTGTACCATTTTTCTCGATTCCACATGACCTGTAGTAATTGATTATAGTATCATAAATGAATCAAGTGTCTGAAATTTTTACTGCCTTTGGATCCTAGTTTGGTTTCTCAAGTAGAGACAGAAAGCATAGTGAAATTATCACCTAAAGCTTTTTACCCTCAAATACTTGAAATTAAATCTGTTTTGGGGGCCATCCAATCCTGTTCTTACTAATGCCAGGAATTTAAAAAATTTTCCCTTAAGAAACCTGACTCTTGTTAACCCATTTCCTCCAGAAACAGGAACACCATGTCCTCTCTTAAGACCATGCCTCGGTCAGTCTTTGTAACTGTGGGAATTCCATATGCAGCAGTTACACATGTAGTCATTTATAAAGTTTTCAAAATCAGCTATAAAAAAAATTTACCACAAAAAGACAAATCTAAACATCTAAGATACATCTTCTGAATCTTTGCCTATGTTAGGAAAACATTCAGTTTCTTAGGGGTGATCATATTATGAAAATATTTTCAGGGTTTTTTTTAAAAAAATTGAGTTTTCTCCACTGAAGTAATCTAATCATAAGGATTTGCTCTAACTTAAGTGTCAACATGCCAGTGGGTGCACCTGTCCTGGGACTGGTTCTCTGCCTTTGCTTCCGTGGTTATTGACTGGAATCGCTCAGTCAGTTCTTACTCTAGTATGATGTTTCCGTGGATTATACAGTAATCTTTTAAAAATAACCAAACCTTCATAACATTGATTTCAGAGCCCAGCGACTTGACTCTGAAAATCTACAGAGCTGAATCGTATGCTGGTCTCCAAGAGTTTAAAGCAGCCATAGAAGATTTAAATGCAGTTCTCTTTCAACTGCCAAATTGGCCTGAGGTAAAACTACTGTTTTACATTTGCATACATTTAAAATTTTCAACTGTAGGGAATATGGATTTCAGTTATGATTGTAAGTTACAATGAAATGGATTGGGCGATTTCTTTTAAATATATAGAATAGTTCTGGAAGTCTAAGGTCAATATTTTGAGTGGATGAATGTCATCTGACAGTTATTTAAACTATAGGAAATGTTTGTTTCCTAATTAGAGAACAACTTGAATTCGAGGCACAGAAAAAAAAAAAAGACTTTAATATACAGCATTTCCTCAAAGAGATACACCTGGCCCTATTGCAGAGATGGACCCAAAGAGGTTATCAGTGGAGGAGGTTTATTAATGGAGAGAGGAGAGGTTCTGTGGCCTAATGACTGAGGCATTGTGATGGGAACTGGGTGATGAGGCAGTCATTTAATACGGTAGATGGGGGCCTTGCCCATGCTCTTTTGAAAAAAGATTTGCGGCATGTATATATTGTATAATTGGTTTACGAATTCTCCTTTTTACCAGTACTGTCAAGGCAAGTCAGTCCATCTCCCATATGTTATTTAAGTTAAAAGTCATCTTTTAATGTGACTTTTTTCTGCATTCAAAGCTATGCCATTGAGGACTATATAGTGAGTATGCTCTAAAATTTATAAATTAATAAAGAAAATGAATCAGAATCCCATGACGATGTGACCAGTTGATACAAGTCAAATCAGTGTTAAGAATATGAGGGAAAATGATTGGTACAGGCAGCTTTGGTGGCGACAGTGGTTTAGTCACTAAGTCATGTCTGACTCTTGCTAGACCCCATGGGCTGTAGCCCACCAGGCTCCTCTCTCTGTGGGATTCTCCAGGCAAGAATACTGGAGTGGGTTGCCATGCCCTCCTCCAGGGGATCTTCCCAACCCGAGAATCGAACCCAGGTCTCCTGCATTGCAGGAGAACTCTTTTGCCAACTGAACCACCAGGGAAGCTCTTAAAACCATTAAACAGAAAAGAACCCTCTGGACTTATCATTGAGGGGATATAATTAGAATTGTAGCTTTGGAGTCATTTTCTGGACCTCATAATCAGAGGTGCATCTCCCGGGTAGGGTGTGAGTATGCCTTTAAAATTCTTTGGGCTCCTGAGAGTCATTTAGTTTCAAAATGAACATTTCCAAGCAGAACTTTTTTTTTTTTTTTTACCTTACATGATATTGGTATTTCAAAGAACAATTCCATCCCTAACAGTTGGGTATGTGTGCTTTTGTTGAAGGTCTACTTCAGGAAAGGAAAAGTCCTCCACGATGCTGGGTTTCTAGGTGATGCCTTACAACTCTTTCTTCAGTGCTTAGCGCTTGATGAAGATTTTGCACCTGCAAAGCTAGAAGTAGAAAAGGTAATCTGTCTACCAACTGTAACACTTCCAGCCAGTTTCCCGACAACACAGGTCTTTTTACCAATGCCAATTAGAATCTTGGGGTAAGGACGTAAGGGGTGTCCATAAGCAGTCTGACAAGGGGTTTTCAGATTCAGTATACTTATTAGCATACTGAGTTCTTACCGAAATCAGAACATTTCAGAGAGAGTATTAAATGCATTACTTTTGCCTAGTTAAATTTAGATGTTCTCTAATAGTCTGTTCCATGGGAGCCAGACCAGTCATTCTTAATTAAACATTGTTGTCATGATGTTCCTGCTCAGGAATTTTTATTGGCTTCGTTTGCCTTTCATTTCAGGTCTCAACTTTGCTTGCTTTCTGTGGTTGCCAATAGTACTGCTCCACTCAATTTATTTTTTGCCTTAATTTTCTCAGTACTCCATACATCCCTTTCCAGAGTTTTTTCAGTGGTATGTCAGTAGGTGTTAATTATAAGGAAAAGGGGTTCTCTGATCAAATGACTTTGGGAAACACTGGGTTAAACCAGTCAAACAGATTTCTTCAGCCCTTCTTGAGAGTTTTTGCTTTGCTAGCATGACAACAGCATTCAGCTTTTGCCAGATTTACTCACAGAACATCTGGGAAGACTAGAGTCTCTGAAAAATGTTTTGGGAAAATCTACCCTAATACAATTTCAGTGCCCAGTCATCTTGTTCCCTGCAGTGTCCCCCAAAGAGGCCACATTGTTGATTGCGTTTGTAGTGTTTCTCAGAACGTGGCTTTTTGTCAGAGTCATCTCGGGTGCATGGTAAACACAAAGATTTCCTGGGCCCCACACAGACCTTTGGAATTAGAATCTCTAGAATTAGAGTATAATTTAACAAGCATCTCAGGAGATTTTTATGTACCTTGAAGTAAGAGAACTTTGGAATTTTTCTTGCATTTATGAATAAGCCAACATCCTCCATAAGGTTTGTTTGCATACATGTTCTAGCCCACTGACTTAACAAAAAATGGTTTACTGTTGCTTGTTTTCTTACTGTGCTGTCTTTGCTAGAGTGATCTCCCTGGTGAAACTGCAGACTTTATATAAGGGCTTATAATTTTGCATTTTCCGTGCTGCTGGGTATCCTTACTTTTCTGTAATTATTTGTTGGTTAGTAAGGTCAGGTGAATTCAAAATACCTACTGCCTTGAACTATTTTTTCTTTTCTCTTTATTGGGTAAATTGTGGTATAATTTACATATAATAAAAGGCGTTTTATAGTTCAGTGAGTTTTGAGAAATTATACATTCATGTAACCACACCCCAGTCAAGACACAGACTATTTCAGATCACCCTGGAAAGCTCCCTCATCTCCTCTGCACCAGATTCCCTCTCTCTGTGCTTCCAGAGGGAGCTACTGCTCAGACCTCTAGCGCCACAGACTAGTTCTGCCTGTTCTGGACCTTCACATACAGTATATTACTGTTTTTTTGCTCAACGTGTTTTTGAGACACATCCAGTCATTTTTTACTTGTTTATTGTTCACCAGGTATCCTGTGGTATGAACACATCACAGTTTGTGATATTAACAGTTACTGGCGATTTTTATTTGGATTATTTCTAATTGATGCCATGAACATTCTTTTACAAGTCATTTTGTGTTCATACGTTTTTATCTCTCTTCAGTAAATACCTAGGAGTCAATACTTTTTTTTTTTTTTTTTAATCAGGGGAAATGTAAAAACATATCCAAATTTTTTAGTGATTGTTCATTAAATGGTTTATTGCTTGAGCACCTACAGATACACACTTTCATTCATACCATGTATATTTCCTTTTTATTTACATTGTAAAGATTCGTGAAAAATTCTGATTTTTGTGCCTTGAGAGATAGAACAGCTGAAAAACCAAACTTCCAAAGCGAGACTTTAAGAAATGTGTATATGCGGTACATATACACACATGTATACACACAATGTATACATATACATATACACACACGATGTATACATATACACACAGCTTATTTGACAAGCAAACAAATTTGAATCCCGCTCATTCCTTTGTAGCCAGTCTGTTCCTCTGTTGTAATCCCCTTGTTGGAGAGTTTGAGGTGTTCCTGAGAGAAGCGCCCAGAGGTTAGATACTGCAGCTGCCTCCGTTTGGGCCAGCTGCCATGCAATGCCCCCGTTAATGCCGGGGGTGGTGACTGACCATACAGGTCACTGGTTCAGGGAGAAGCTAAATTCACTGTAAACACATGGAATTTTAGTTCTGTGGTTAAAGGTCCAAGTTCACATAAACAGTCTAAGTTCAGCCTTAGAATATACATTGGGATGAACCATTAACTATATTGACAGGATGGGACTTGCTGATGGTCAGAGGTAAATATTTTCCACTTCTTGTAAGATCTCTTCTTTCTACAAACCTTATATATACACGTCAACCTTTACCTTGGGCATCTTCTGAGGCCACCAGTCTTATCACCCCCGAGCTTCCTTTTGAACCATTTCTTTGATGTGGTTTGACCCCCTTGGAGGCACACCTTTGTTTTGGCAGGACTTTTAAAATCAACATGGAAGTTCTTGATTTTTTCACCTAACCTGTTCCTTCCCTGCCTGTTAAAAATAATACTAGCTGTAAGTTTTTTTTTTTTAGTTGTGTATTACTTGATGTAATACTTACAGTATTATTAGTTTCAAGTGTACAACAAAGTGATTGGATATTTTTATAGTTTATACTCCATATGAAGTTTTCCAGAAATTCTTAAATATTGAGTGAGTGAGGTAAGTGAAAATTACTCAGTCGTGTCTGACTCTTGCGACCCCATGGACTATACAGTCCGTGGAATTCTCTAGGCCAGAATATTGGAGTGGGTAGCCTTTCCCTTCGCCAGGGGATCTTCCCAACCCAGGGATTCCCACATTGCACGCAGATTCTTTACCAGCAGAGCCACAAGAGAAGCCCTCTTAAATATTAAGTAACTGAATTATCCTTAATAAAATATTTTATATTTTTCATTATTCTTTTATGATACCTTCCTTACAGATTTTATGTGATTTATTATCACCTGAAAACTTAAAAGAAGGCCTGAAGGACTCTTCCTGGAGTTCATTACCATGTATTAAAAACAAACCTTTCAGTTTTCCTTCAGTGATGGAAGAGTCTCACTCTGCCAGTGAGCTGAGCCCAGAACAGGTAAGGGGTAAGAAGAGATGGTCATAGGCTTAGTGTATCCATTTTCTTTACAAGATCTTCACTTTCCTAGTTTCAAATATTAATACTAAAATCTATGTAGGTACTTTCAGCTTAGTAAGGCTTGTCTTAATAGGATTCCATCTGTGACCTTTTATTTTACACTAAAAACTTTTATGTGAAATATCTGCTCATTAATCACAATGTTACATCACCTGAATGTCAGAAATGTTTGTCTCTTGGAAAAAACCAGAACATTGTATTTATCTTACTTTCCTTGTGGTAGAAACAACTATATTAGCATAACTACTTAAACCTCATTATGACAGAAGTCAGCTTGATGTCCAGGGCTCTCTAAGTCCTGGCAAAAATCCTTTACTTGCCAGGGTTTTAGAATTAAAAGTTGGTTTTGTTTTAAATGAACAATAAAATAAACCTTTCAAGACATCGCAGTTCCATTTCAGTTTGGTTCTTGGCGAGAGCAATAAGGATAGTAAAAACATACAGTCAGTTACCCTCATTTGTTGCATTTTTTGTAGAATGAAGAAATAGCAGAGGTCACCTCAGAGCCTGTCAAAGGAAGCCTAAACCGTGCTCAGTCAGCACAGGCTATAAATTCAACAGACATGCCTGCCAGAGGGGACTGTTTAAAAAGAGTGTCCTCGGAACCCTCACTTTGTATTCAAGAGAAAGGTGTTCTGCTGAAAAGAAAGTTGTCTCTCTTAGACCAGGATGTGATTGTAAATGAAGATGGAAGAAATAAGCTGAAAAGACAGGGAGGTAAAAATTTCACTACATTCACACGGAACACATTGATTTATTCAGAATAGTTTCCAAACTTTTTTCCTAAAAAAGATAACCCCCTCTCTTTGTTTTAATAGAAATTCCCACTGAAGTCTGTACGTTTTCATTAACTTACGGTGATGTCCCAGAAGAATTAATAGATGTCTCAGATTTTGAGTGTTCTCTCTGCATGAGGTAAGTATGTCAAATTTTATGAGATGAATATTTTATATTAATGTAAATAAATAAAGCACAGAGTAGATAATCTACTCTGTAAGAACTGGACTTCCTTGGACTGCAAGGAGATAAAACTAGTCTACCTTAAAGGAAATCAGTCCTAAATATTCATTGGAAGGACTGATGCTGAAGCTAAAACTCCAGTACTTTGGCAACCTAATGTGAAGAACTGACTCCTTAGAAAAGACCCTGATGCTGGGAAAGATGGAAGGCAGGAGGAGAAGGGGGGATGACAGGATGAGATGGTTGGATGGCATCACCAACTCAATGGACATGAGTTTGAGTAAACTCCAGGAGTTGGTGATGGACAGGGAAGCCTGGTGTGCTGTAGTCGATGGGGTCGCAAAGAGTCAGACGCGACTGAACTGAACCCTAAGAATAAGCAGGTGAAGTAACAGAGTAGTGAATTAAAAATCAAAAGATGAGAATTTTAGAGCTCAGTTTTCCTTTCAAACATCTTGGGCAAATAACATAATCTCTGAACCTTATTTAGCTTTTCCTTACTTAGAAGGGGCTTCCCTGGTGGGCCCATTCCTTTTGTTTACCATGACTGAGCAACTAACTTTGACTTTTCACTTACTTAGAAAGTGGTGTCAGGATTTGCGTGTGTGCGCGTGCACAAGTACGCAGTCTTTCAGTCGTGTCCGACTCTTTGCGACGCTGTGGACTGTAGCCCACCAGGTTCCTCTGTCCATGGAATTCTCCAGGCAAGAATACTGTAGTAGTTTCCATTTCCCTCTGTAGAGCATCTTCCCAACCCAGGGATCGAACCCATATCTCTTATGTCTCCTGCACTGGCAGGCAGATTCTTTACCACCATGCTATATTTAAGTCTTATAAGAATCAAATGACTAAAATATAAAAAGTATCTGAGGAATTGTACTATAAAAGCTATACATGTTATTACTGAGACTCCATGGTTTTAGATTTGGGTAAGAATGCAATGATGTACTGTGTGTATGTGATTCTATCTTGTTTATGTATCTTAACTCCAAAATCCTTTTTAAGTAGTATTGGATAAGGATCTCCATTATGTGAATGCTTGTAATTCTAACACAGATAATTTGGAAAGAACATTTTCCATTTATATAAATTGTGGAGGCAAGGGAACAGTGTGTAAAGCACCTGGAACTGGCCACACCAGCTATTTGAGCCAAGTCCCTTGATTCTGACCCTTGGCTGCTTCATCTTGAGGTGAAGGGATCAGACCCTGATGATTTCTGAAGTACCTATATGTCTAACAATACTTCTGGGAACTCCCAAAGTATTGTGTTTCAGGAAATAAATGGAAGGAAAATTAGTTTTTCCATATTGTTTGAGTATCACATCTGGTTTTGAGCATCAGTTTTCTTTAGGATTCAATGGTAATATTCACTGGATTATTTTGAATGAATTTCATATAGTAAGGCTTTTATAAGCTTTTTAAGAAAACCAGTTTTAAAGTGATGAGTGTATACAAAAACAAATGAATAAGTAATAATACAGAAGTACTGCCCATCTCAGTTTGGACCAGCCCCGTTTCAAGGCTTCAGTAGCCCCTGTGAGTGGTGGTTATATTGGTACAGTTCCAAGCAGGGTACCCCTGATGATGGTGAACTTTTAACCAGTTCAGGAGGCTACCTGGCATTTACCACTGCTTCTTCCCTCCTCTCCTGCCTGTCAAATCCTCCTTCCTCTTCTAAACAGAAGCTAGTGTTATGGTTACATTATTTGTTCAGTTTTTTCCAGTGGACAGCTTATGGTGAAAACAAACATGTATTCTGGTTGATTTCAGGTTGTTTTTTGAGCCAGTGACAACCCCTTGTGGACATTCATTCTGTAAGAACTGTCTTGAGCGTTGTTTAGATCACACACCATATTGTCCTCTTTGCAAAGAAAGCTTAAAAGAGGTAAGCATTTGTGTATTTGTTTATTGCTCTTAAGTGTAGCAACATGGTTTGATTTCTATTTAGCCATAGAAATAATGATTATTAGGTTCAGAATAAATTACATTATACATATTGATTGACCCAAAGGGATCATGCATGTGTCATTATCCATCTGCTAGTATTGGAGGAAAGTGAGTTTGGAGAGGGTGGGACAAAGCAGAGTCTGAAGACTGAATCCCCATACTTAATTTTTTAAACAGATGAGGTGTGATCAAGTACCTGGTCAGGAATATGTTGATTTTAATGACAGTACTGGGGAATCTCAACTACCCTGCTGCCTACCTCCATTTTTAGGTTGGATTTCAGGCCTCAGTCAATCTCTTTAACATCTGGACCAATTCTATCCAGTAGAACTTACTACATTGATGGAAATGCTCTGTATCTATGCTGTCCAATATGGTAGCCATTGGCCACATGTGTGGGAGGGACTACTTTTAATTAATTTACATTTAAGTAGGCACGTGTGAGTAGTGGCTCCCACATTGGACAGCGCAGTTCTAGAAAGTGGCAGCCTGGCAAGGAACGGGAGGCACAGCTTCCCACACCCCTCGTCTGGCAGGTGGTCTGCACTGATCACCTGCACTAGGAAAACAGCTGGATCTCAGGTGGGTTCTCTTCTGTAACCAGTGGGAGGGCAGCACCCTCTTCAGTCCTGCTTGATGTCCTCAAAGGTGAGGCCAGAGCCTTAGAATTCTTGTTGCAGTGGTAGCATTGATCCAGGAGTGTGTTTGTGTCTCTAGGTTTTAAGAAAAAAAGTACCTTGCAAATATGATGTAAAAATTTGATGAATATCATTTTGCTATTAAAATAGTTATTTCCTATGTAGAAAGCATAGCTCTGATATCATATAGCATATAGATGTATTGTTACATTTCATACAACATAGCAACCCTATATGTAGTAGAACACAAAAAACAGAATGTTTACAGTCAGGAAACCTAAAATCTTTATTCTTAAAGAGTTTTACATTTCCAACTTTTAGACTCTGTTTTCAAATAAGCTACTCTGAAAAACCAGGAAAGATAGCATGTTTTAGAGTTTTTAGATATGCTTATATACTTACTATGCTTTAAATTTAGAGTTATCGCACCTTTAATGTCTGAAGTTCTAAGGAAGACAGAGTTAGGATGTTATTTAAAAACGTAACTAACATACTGTTTAAAAACAACTTTATCTTTTGTCCTGACTTGAAGACACCATGTATAATTGGTAAAGTCTAAATATACATTTACACGGACAAATGGATATGCTCTAGTTTTCTGCTCTTCCTACTTATTTTGCTCATTTTTTCATCTGAATGCATTTCAAGATGTGATTTTTCATAGCAGCATACTAGTCCAATGATACAACATTTTTCTGTTTTGGAGCATTTAAGTTTTTTTTTTCCCCCCCAAAATACACTATGGTCAGTGTCTTTGACTCTTTCCTTAGGATACATTCCTGGGAGAATTACTAAATCAAAGGCCATAATATTTTAAGGCTCTTAAAATCAGTTGCCAGATTGCCTAGGTCCCAAGTAATGTAGAAATTTAGATTCTTACCAGTAATGGAAGAGAGGCCATATTCCCAAATTTAATACATGAGTCTTAAGTTTTAAAACATCTTTATTAATTTGAAATTGCTTTTATATCTCTAATTTGATTAATTTTATAATAAACTCTTAAGTTATCTATGTATATATTATCTGCTCAAGAGTACATCTCTCCAGTCAATAGCCCAGTTGTTCTCAAGGTATGTTCCCCCAACCAGCAGCATCTATATCCCCTGGGAACTTGTTGGAAATACAGATTCACAGACCCTTCCCCAGAGCCACTAAATCAGAAACCCTGGTGAGTGCTCAGCTGTCTACATTTTTAACAAGCCATGGTTCATGCTCAAGTTTAAAAACCACAGGTATAAGCCATTTACCCACCATTCATATTTTCTACTCTGTACTTCATTAGATACTGACAAAACCCTTATTTTTGCTGGATCTAGAGGAAAAGCTGGTTTCTCTTTATCTTGTGGTTGTCTTACAAGAGTTTTCCTCATTACTTTTATTAAGCAAATTGGTATTGGACATATATATACATACACACACATATATATAGTTTGTTCAGAATTCTGTATACAGACTCTGTACTTGGTCCCTGGCCCTATGCAGTTGTTAGTTTAGTTACAGAGATATAATACATCCCTGTCCAGCTAATATAGTGCAGGGTATGGTAGCTGCCTTCTATACATTAAAGGTTATTTCTAGTAGACAGAAAAATAATTAAGGAACACTTTATGCAAAAGGTAAAATTGCAGCCAGACCTTGAAGGATAGTCAGATGGCTTTTGGTAGTTGGAAGAGTAACACAAAAAAATGTATCAGGGTGGCAGCGTTCAGAGCATTATGGGAGTGGCACAAATGTACCACCTTACCCAGAGGGTGGCTCACATAGGAAAAGCAGCCTCTTGATAAGGGCATCTGTAGTCATTGTGGGATGACAACAGAAGAAAAATCTGAAAGAAAAGTTATCTGGAAACTCTGCCAACTGAAATGGGGAACAAAAAAAGGGAGCAACTTTGCTTTGCTTAAATAAGGCAAATGCATTATCTTCTTTATTCCTTTTTTTCTCAATTAAAATGCTAATTTCAGATACTCATGCACTGTCAGAAGGAACTTACCTTTGGTGTGGGAGACAGCAGGAGCAGTGCTGACTGCTGTTAATGGTGTGTGATCATAGCAAGACAAGGGTCACTTATGCAGAACTTGTTTCAGATTGCAGACGTGTCTTGAATGCTCTTGAGCTAAGCTTCAGGCAGGTTTCCCAGTTTAGCGTCATCCATTGTATTGTTCCCCCTCACTAATGAGTTCAGAACTGACTGTATAAATATGTAATAAAGGCTTTACTATATCAGTTAAACTGTTTTACCTGTTTTGTACTGTAGGGGGAAAAAGTGCTGGAATGTAAAATAATATTGTCTTTCAGTATCTAGCAGATAGGAGGTACTGTGTCACACAGCTGTTGGAAGATTTAATAGTGAAGTATCTGCCTGATGAGCTGTCTGAGAGAAAAAAAATATATGATGAAGAAACTGCTGAACTCTCACAGTAAGTTTCTTCTCATACAAATTAACATAATCAAATCAAACTACTACCCTTTGAAATAATGAGGAGAAGCCTCCTCACAGCCAGCTGGGTTCTGTCTCTAGTTCAACCCAGTCTAGTCAGAGGCATATCGTAAACAAATATTGGTTAATTTCCCGTCTTCAACAGTTAGAAGTTTTCAGGTTTATTTGGTAACTTCAGATGTTCTGTTGGGAGTGACTTCCTGACAGCTTTCCACACTGAAGCAGTCTTTTAGGCGGGGGTGGGGGCCTCCCCCAGGGACATCAGGCTGGTGGAGGTGGTTGCTGGGAACTGCGGCCCTCAACCATCAGTCCCCGCCCACCGGAGAAAGTAGAGGGTAAGTGGCCTGGATTGGCAGGGGGAGTAGCCAATGAGAGGTTTGCAAGGGGGTGGGACCTTGAGACCTGAGACAGAAATTGGAAGGGGTGACTTAGGGGCTAAATTCTCGACGAAGACACTGACTGTTCGCATACTTGACTTAGTATCAGGAAGGTGGAAAAGCTGGTGGTAACTTTGGGATTCCGTGGTACAGTGTACTGCCGAGAGCACATAAAAAACTAATCAGGGCTGGGTAATCTGGACCTGGTTTTGTTGCTCTCTGTGTTGCTTTCTCACACTTTTCTTCTTTTCTCTTCCTTCGTGACTTGACCTCTTTCACCATTTTCTTCAGTCTCCAAGTTTCTTTACTGGGTTTCTAATTTCTTTCTAATTAACTGGACAGTGAAGACCAGAAGTGTAATTTTTACATGCTGTTTCTAGTTTTTTAAATATAAATTAAAACATTTTTTATTTCTCACTAAGAAGTAATTGCGCTTCACAGAGTTTTTGTTTTTAGTATGTGTCCACCAAATGTTGTCATCGAGTCAGTGGCCTTCAGTATAAGAAAGGTTTCTATCTTTATAGAAGTTGATAGTGGTCTGTCTTCTGATGGAACTGATATTTTATTGTGCCTTTGTGATAGAAAATATTCTAATGTGTGGATTATACACCTTTTGGACCAACACTGCAAAAAGCTGGATACAAGAAAGTTTCAGATATACTTTTGAAATACTTAAACATAATGACAGGACCAGACGCCCCACAAAGAGTGGAATTTATGAATGACAGGAGTAGTGATGCAAGGAAAGCTGGGTGTGATGGAGAGAAGCCTCAGGAATCTTGCTGTGTACTAACTGGGCTATTTTCTTAAGAGTAGCTCATTCTCTGGTACTTATAAGTTTTGCTAATTAAAAGATATACTTGGGTTGTGTTTTTCCTCCCCAGTTTTTATGTTCATAAGAGTTGTTAGTATTGGTAAAACACACAGTTTTAAAAGTAGAAGAATTAGGACTTGTATATTAAATGTGTATTACATATAGACTTCACATTGTGGTCTTTTTGAAGAAAGAGTAGAAAATATTAGTTGGGGGAGGGAGAGCCATAATCTGTAACTCAAAGGTAATCACCACTGGCATTTTGGCATATATCCTTCCCAATTTTAATATATATAAATACATTAGAAACAAAGATGGGATTATTTTACTCCTATCATTCAATACCTTCCTTTTCTCATTAATCTAAAGTCTAAATATAGACTCATTTTATGGTTACATCATAATTTATTTTCCTGGTTGCCTCTTTTTTGCTTCTAAGTTTTGGCGACTATACATGTTGAACATTCTTACAATACTTGCAGGAAAAAGTACACCTGTTGGTTCAAAGGATATGAATATTTTAAAAAATTTTTGATGTATATAGCCAAATTCTTCTTCAGTATGGTTGTACTGTTTCAAACTGCCCCCGTCAGCTGCCAGTTTTTCCCCTTACCCTTGCCAAAGGGTTTCTTTAGATTAATGGGAAACTGAGCGCTGCCTTTATCCTTCATATTTCCTGCCAATCTGGGAATTAAAATGTATCATTTTAATTATCTGGAAAAAATTTTATGCCATTGAATTACCTGCTTTTGTTAGTGAGAAAATATGTTAGTGACTAAAAATTTTTAAAGATGTGGTTTTTGTCCTTTGCAGGAGCTCACTTACTATTATCTAAGAGTGTTTTATGGATAATAACTGTGTCATGTTACACATATTTTAAACAGATTTTTAATATAAAATAGTTATAATCAATTGCTTTTTTAAATAAAAGTACATAGCTCTAAGTGATAACTTTATAAATTCAAATTTACTTGTAAGAGGATTACAAACAGTTTTAGGATTAATATTGTATCAACATAAGCTTAAATGAAGGGGATGCTGATTCTTATTCCTGCCAAGAATAAAAATTACCTGCTTTTAGAGTAAATTTTTGTTTTCTATTACTTATTGAAAGTTTTGCTCATTTTTGTTGTATCTTCTGATATATAATAATGCAATTTTCTTCTTCAGCTTGACCAAGAATGTTCCAATATTTGTTTGCACTATGGCCTATCCCACTGTGCCTTGCCCTCTTCATGTATTTGAGCCAAGATACAGATTGATGATTCGAAGAAGTATACAGACTGGAACTAAACAGTTTGGGATGTGCGTCAGTGATACACAGAATAGGTATGCTTTTTGTCTAAATGTTTTTATTGATTCTTGAATTGTCTCTGAATATTGCTGAGCACGTGCGTGCTTGTGGCTTGAACTTTGGGTACTAACTGGAGTTTTTCTTCTAGTTTTGCAGATTATGGTTGTATGCTACAAATTAGAAATGTACATTTCTTGCCTGATGGAAGGTCTGTGGTTGATACCGTTGGAGGAAAGCGGTTTAGGGTTTTAAAAAGAGGAATGAAAGATGGATATTGCACTGCAGACATTGAATACCTGGAAGATATTAAGGTATTAAAACCTCGTTTTTCAGCATTGGTGTACTCTGTCCTAGGCATTGTACAGGCCTGCAGTTTTCTAGGCACGTTAACCAGTTTTTCCTGTGAGAGACCCTCATCAGTACTTAGGCAAATTAGCTCCGTTACCTTTTTCTCATTTTTTTTTAACTTTTTATTTTATGATGGAGGATAGCTGATGAACAATGTTGTGACAGTTTCAGGTGGACCTTCATATCATCTTACTCTTAATCACTGTGATTACAAGAGAACTTGGAAGACCATAACCTAGACTTTGTTCATTTCTACTGCCTCGACACCCACCACCGTGCCTAGAATGTAGTCACATGTGTAGCTGAATGGTAGTTACTTAACAAAAGCAGGGTGTTGAATGGAACTTCCAACCTAACTTATGAAACCTGCTAATTCCTGCCCTTTTAAATTAATTGGTAGTCAAAGCTGATACAGTCAGCAGTAGATTGAACTTTGATGTAAAGGTAAACATGAAATCCTTGAATGGTTCTACATATTAAGATATGCCTAAGATAACCTCAGTGATAACATACACACAAACTCTATAGAGCGTCACAGATACAGCACTGTCAGTATAATTATAGGTGATATCTTACCTGGGGAGGGTTAGTGTGATAATTTTCTTGAATAGGGTTAATGCTACCCTTTTGATATTTCTAGTACCTGCTTTAGCATCTGCAGTTAGTTTAGGTACCAGAAAAATGATTTGAGATATTATAAGTATCAAATTAAAGGCAATTTTCTTTGGAAGGGCATTAGAAAATTACAAAAATCAGAAAATCTTGTAATATCAGTTGTTCATTGATCTGCTTGATCGTCCCAAGCAGCATTTACTGAGTGTTAGCATTGGGCATTTCTACAAACAGTAGCTCACTGAATTTTCAAAAGTCAGATATCAGGTAAGGAAAGTAGGATTCAGGAGTATTAACTATTAATAATTTGCCAAGATGATAATTTAAAGCCAGCTTTCTAGCTTCAAGTGCTGTGTTTTATCATTGCACTCTTGATAAGCTTCTCTGCTGATGAACTTCATTAAATCTGATACTGCCTATCCTATTTTATTATAAAGATGCTATGGGAAAACTTTGTGCAGTGAGCTAGAGGTATTGAGTTGGAATTTTGAGTTGATTGATATAGTCTGTGCCTTAGCATATTTGATTAATGGACTCATTTCCTAGAGGTGATATTTGTAAAACTAATTTACATCTCCATATATTGTATTTGCTGACAAAATTCCTTGACCATATATGTATATGAAATACAAATATGACAGTATGATAGAATATTGAAAGTGTTAGGGATTTGATGTTTAGAAAACTGAATGCTGTATGTTGTAGTTTTAGGAATGTCTAATAATTTTTCTTCATCTTAGTGCTTCATCTGTGTAATGATTTCTTGTTCATTCTGGGAAAGCTTCTCAAATTTGTTTTTTATATCAAGGCTATTTTTTCCCTTGGTGTTGTACTTCTGTTTTCTTTCAATAACATTTTAGATTCTGTTATTGCAAGGAAATTCCATAACTTTAAAATTTCTGCCAGCTTTTAAGCTCCTTTTTCTAACCAAAACTCATGGTTTTTATCATTCCTTGTTTACCAAAGTTCATGGTTTGGTCCCTTGAATTTTATAAGGCTGGAAACTAGATACTTTTTTCTTTTGTAATAGTTTTAACAAGTAACATGTTTATTTTTTTAATCAAGATTTTAAAAGTTGAAGTATAGTTGATTTACAGTGTTAATTTCTGCTGAACAGTGATTTATACATAAAATATTAAATTTAAATATTTTCCATTTTTATTATAGAATAGTGAGCATAATTCTCTGTGCTATATAGTAGGACCTTGTTTATCCATTCTGTATATAAAAGGTTGTATGTACTAACCCCTGCTAACCTCTCCCTTCATCCTCCCACCGATTCCCTCTCCCTGGGCAATGACCAGTGTATTCTCTGTATCCATGGTTCTGTTCCATAGGTTCATTTGTGTCATTTTGAATTCCACATGTAAGTGATATCATATGGTATGTCTCTCTCTTTCTGCCTTACTTCACTTTACTGTAGTTGCAGCCATGTTGCTACATATGGCATTTTTAAGTTTTTTATGGCTGAGTAGTGTGTATGTACCACTTTTTTTTTAACTTTTCATTTTATTTTGGAGTATAGCCAATTAACAGTATTGTGATAGTTTCAAGTGGACAGCAATGGGAATCAGCCATAGCTATATATACCCATTTCCCCTCAAACACCCTTCACATTCAGGCTGCCACATAATATTGAGTAGATTTCCCTGTGCTATACAGGAAGACCTTGTTGGTTATACATCAGCAGTGTTTACCACATCTTTATCCATTCATTGTTTCCGTGTCGTGGCTATTGTGAACAGTGCTGCTGTGAACAGAGGGGTGCATGTATCTTTTTGAATTATAGTTTATCAGGAGGTATGCCCAGAAGTAGGATTGCTAGATCATACGGTAGTTCTATTTTTAGTTTTCTGAGAAACCTCCATACAGTTTGCCATAGTAGCGGGAACTTACGTTCCCACCTGTAATGAAGGAGGGTTCCCTTTTCTTTACAGACTTTTAATGATGGTCATTCTGGCCAGTGTGAGGTGGTACTTCATTGTAGTTTTGATTTGCATTTCTCTAATAATTAGCAGTGATGAGTGTCTTTTTATTTCTGTTGCCTTGGGAGACTGACTTAAGAACACCTAGGGGAACGTTTTGCCTATGACCTCCTTCTAGGAAATTTTATGGTGTCATGTCTTAGGTTTAAATCTTTAAGGCATTTTGAGTTTATTTTTCTGTATGGTGAGAGGGTATGTGGCTGTCCAACTTTTCCAATACCCCTTGCTTCCTTTATCAAAGATTGACTGATTGTAGGTTTCTGGGTTTACTTCTGGGCTCTCCATTTCTATTCCATTGATCCATATGTCTGCTTTTGTACCAATACCCCTTCAGTGGCATTAAGCACATTCACATTGTTGTGAAAAAGCAGATGCTTTTTCATCTTTGGTTTTATTTTTCATCTCACGTTGTTAAAAAATAAAGTTACCTTCTTTTGTCTCTTGTGTACTATAGTCTTACCTTTTATATATCAGGATGTTTTTTAGACTCTCACTGTTTTTATACTGAGTCATCCTTGAGATATGAAAGGCTGACTAAGGCAGTATTTGTTCAGATGCATTATGTATGTGAAATATAGTGCTCTCTGGCACAAAGCAAGTGGGATAGGCGTGTGTGTTAAAGAAATCAATATGAGATGGATGAGTTAATGCTCAATCTTCCCACCTGTGTTTTATGTGCCTAGTCTTTTGGATCTTAGGCTGGAAGGCCAAAGCATTTAATTTTGTATTTGCAGTTTGATGAACCAGTAGTCCAAAGGGCATACAGAGAGGATGGAGGTAGGACTTTACAGCAGAATTTCATCATTGCATAATGTATTCCCTATTCTGGCTTTATTATGCTGTTATTGGCGTGTTTTGTTTTGGTTTTTTGACCCAGCTCCCTGCTAAAAGTTGTAATTACGCTTTTCCTCTGTCCTCTTCCTACTTTTGCCACAGCAGACCTGCACCTGAGACCTCCCCCCCAATCTTTCCTTTCATTGTAGCAACTGTATTCTTCTGCTTTTTTGTTCCACTGCTTTCAAAGGCCCTTGATCCATAGAGATGAGTTCCCAGTCCCTGTAGACCTTTATCTGAGAACTCCCTCTCCCATCTTACCCCTCCCAGTTAGGGGCTGTTAGTTGGGTTCTGCAGTGTTGTACTGCTAACTCAGCAAGGCCAGGTTAGCGGTGCTGGGAGGTCAGGCCTTGCTGTCTTTTTTTAGTCTGGCCTATTGGTGGTGTGTGAGATTTACAGTGTTCATAAGAATAATACTGAGCATATGCCCAGAGAAAAACATGGTCTGAAAGGATACATACACCCCAGTGTTCACTGCATCATTGTTCACAATAGCCAAGACATGGAAGCAACTTAAATGCCCATCAACAGAGAAGTGGTACATATCTACAATGGAATATTACATAGCCATTAAAAAGTAGGAAATAATGCCATTTGCAGCAACATGGATAGACCTAGAGATTTTCTTACTGAGTGAAGTAAGTCAGACAGAGAAGTATCATATGACATCCCTTGTATGTGGAATCTAAAAAGAAATGAGATGAATGAACTTCTGGTTTCCAGGGGGGAAGAATGTGAGGGAAGAGATAGTTTGGGAGATTGAGATCGACATGTACGCTGTGGTTTATTTACAATGGATAACCAACAAAGACCTCCTGTAGACCACAGGGAACTCTACTCAATGTGATGTGGCAACCTGGATGGGAGGGGAGTTTGGGGGAGAATGGATATATGTACACCTATGGCTGAGTCCCTTTGCTGTCCACCTGAAACTATCACAACATTGTTAATCAGCTATACTCCAATAACAAATGGGCAGTTTTTAAAAAATAACACTCAACAGAAAAAGAGACTCAGATGTATAGAACAGACTTGTGGACTCTGTGGGAGAAGGCGAGGGTGGGATGTTTCAAGAGAACAGCATCGAAACGTATATTATCTAGGGTGAAATGGATCACCAGCCTAGGTTGGATGCATGAGACAAGTGCTCGGGCCTGGTGCACTGGGAAGACCCAGAGGGATCGGGTGGAGAGGGAGGTGGGATGGGGGACCGGGATGGGGAACACATGTAAATCCATGGCTAATTCATTTCAATGTATGACAAAAACCACTGCAATGTTGTAAAGTAATTAGCCTCCAACTAATAAAAATAACACTCTAATCCAGCATTGGAACAGGTATTCCTTCTTAAATATTTTCCCGCCACTTCTATAAGGTTGGTAGTGTGGATGGGAAGACTAAATACAGACATCTTACTGTTGTATTTCTAGGTTGAGAATGAAGATGAAATAGAGAACCTCCGGCAGCTTCACGATTTGGTCTACTCTCAAGCCTGCAGCTGGTTTCAGAATTTAAGAGACAGATTTCGAAGCCAGATTCTTCAGCACTTTGGATCAATGCCTGGGCGGGAGGAGAACCTCCAGGTAGATGACTTTGATACTGTTTCCAAAAGTTTCACTCTGTGTGTAAACCTAAATTGGAAGATTTTTAAGTTTGTTCATCTTTAGAATTTTATTCAGCATTTCTTTTGTCTTGTCGTTAGACTCATGATCGTATATTTCTAGCACAGTGGTACCCACTGCATCTTATATAGGAAGAGAAAGGAAACAGGTGTGAGCTGAGATGTCTGTTAGGAGTGAGTGCCAGAGAAGGAGAAAGCCCCTCTAGTGAGGATTTTTCAGAAGGAAGGATACGGAGTCAAATGTGGGACCTGGGAGGTCAGATCAAGATCCCACAGACACATCAAACTTACATCTCCATACGGAACGATTCTTACAGAACACCTACTGAACGCTTGTGGAAAGACCTCAGACTTCCAAGAGGCAAGAAAATCTCCATATAACCAGGCAGGAAAGAAAAAAAAAGAGAAGGGAATTGGAATGGGACCTGCGCCCCTGGGAGGGTGTCATGACGGAGGAACGGTTCCTGGGAGGTCCCTCAGTGGCAGGGAGACCTGCGGGGAGGACGGTGGGTGGCTGCCTGGGGAGAGCCTGAAGGGGCTGGGGTGTGGTGCCCCCTGCCGGGGGAGCACGGAAAGACGCCTGGCTGCCAGAGAGGCGGGGCGCCCTTGCTGGGAGGCGCAGGACCACCACTGGAGCTGCTTTCGGGCAGCAGGGGGCTGACTACATGAGCTCCGGGGGTGTCAGCCGCGACCGCCGTCCCGGACTCCGGAGGTGGCCGCACTCGCTGCCGCCGCCGAGGGTTTCTTGAGTGGGCGCCAACCCCCGCCCTTCCAGAAGCATCCACGAGCCTGCACGCCCCCACTGAGGGGCAACGACCAGTCAGCCTGAGGAAAGAGGCAGCGGGCGTCCAAACCAAACAGTGCTCCAGCCAAAATCCATTAAACCCACACAAGCTGTGCAGGGGTGCTCCCACTTGTAAATAGCCGTCCGAGATTACAGTGCCTAGTTGTTTCTCCTAAACCCAGAGTAAGAGAAATGTAAGTAAAATGAAGATGCAGAGGAGGCACTCACAGTAAACAGATCCAAGCGAATTCCCTGAGACAACAATGAAATAGAGGCCTCTTCAGTCTAGTAGACACCAGGTTCAAAAAGGAGGCAGTGAAAATAATGGAAGGAATTAAGAAGGGCTATCAACATAAATGCAGATTGTTCTAGAAAGTAACTAGAAACTATAAAGAGCTGAGAAAAATTAGAAAACTCATTTGCTGAGATGAAAGCTAAGCTGAAGGCAATGAAGAGCAGAATGAATCATGAAGCGAGAATACGAAAAGAATAAGTGTTCTGGAAGACAGAATAATGGAAATTACCCAATCAAAACAGCAGACAGGAAACCAAATGGAAAAAAAAAGCAATATAAGATACCTATGGGATAAAATTAAGTGGGCCAGTCTATGCATTATAGGGATTTCAGGCGGGAATGAAAGAGCAAAGGGGATCAAAAATGTATTTGAAGAAATTATGACTGAAAACTTTCCAAATCTAAAGAAGGAAACACATCTCCAGGTACAGGAAGCACAGAGGATCCCAAACAAACCTACACCAAGACATGTTATAATTAAAATGGCAAAAGTGTAAGGATTCTAAAGGTAACAAGAGGAAAACAGTTTATTACAAGGGACGCCCCCCCTCCATTTGGCTATCAACTGATATCGCTACAGAAATACTGCAGGCCAGAAAGGAGTGGCGAGATAACATTCGAAGCCCTGAAAGGAAGAACCTGCAAGGTTACTCAACCCAGTACTGGGTATCCTACTGTATACTCGACCCGGTAAGATTATCATTTAGAATAGAATGAAAGACAATTTCTCAGGAAAGTAAAAAGAATACAGCAATTACTAAACCTATCCTAAAAGAAATAGTGAAAAGTCTTCTCTGAATAGACATCCAAAAAAAAAAAAAAAGAGTTCATTCTCTTCAAGTGCACATAGCAGGGCACAGAACTAACCTCTTTCAACAAATAAGAGTATAGAAATCAACTACAAGAAAAGAAGTGAGAATGATTAAATAGAGACTGAACAGTATGCTACTAAAAAACCAATCGGTCAATGAGGAAATCAAAAGTACTACCTCACACAGGTCAGAATGGCCATCATTTAAAAAGGCCACAAATAACAAATGCTGGAGAGAGTGGAGAAAAGGCAATGTTGGTGGGAATGTAATGGTTGCTACAGCCACGATGGAAACCAGTAGGGAGATTTTATTTAGAAAGAGAATCTGAATGGAAAAAAAAAAAAAGAAAGAATCTGACACTGTGAACTGCTCAATCCAGATTAGCTTGGTGGTGGTATGTTGCTGTTGGGCCTACATAACTACTTGTTTTGTTAACATTATAAAATGTGGGTTCTTCTTAGGCAATCCCTAATGGACCGGCCTGGTGTTGGTGGCTTCTTGCTGTCCTTCCTGTTGACCCCCGCTATCAGCTGTCGGTTTTGTCAATGAAGTCTTTGAAAGAACGGTTGACAAAGATACAACATATACTGACTTATTTTTCCAGAGACCAATCTAAGTAACCAACTGCTTGGATCCTCTAAAATTACCCTAATCTGGCTGGGGTGACGGCCAGGTTGTCCGCTGCCTTTGCACATCCAGTGCTGGTTTAAGAAATGTAAGGAAACTGTTCTTTTTTTTTTTCCTTCAACCTCCTGAGTCATGTGGTTCTGCAAATGAATACCTTCAACTAGGATTTAGACCACTAAGAACTTGCACAGAAAAACACACACCGAATGTGTGTTAAACCTCTACATTGTGATGAAGTTGCACTATGTACCATACTCTAAATGAAATGAGAACTGTGTGTGTGTATGTGGGGTGGGTGCGTGCGTGTGTGTGTCTCTGCACGTGTGAGTAGTATGAGTGCATTTTCTCTGGCTTTAAAATTTTAAAAGGAAAAAAAAAAAAGCCATAGAGAGCAGTACTTGCCGAGGGTCATTTATTGCCCAAGTTTACAACAGTAGCGATACAAGTTTTTGCAAATTGAATTTGCCTCAGATTTCTCTGTCCTAATGCTTACTTTGCACAAGTATTTAAGCTATGGTATTGAGTATCACTCTTTGTCGGAAATACCGCTCTTGCTGAACCGTCTTGACCATTGACTATGACACAGTTTCTTATTTATGTAAATACTTGCATCCCAACAGCCGACGGGCATCGGATGCAGAACCTAGAGCCAGTTTTCAGGAACAACTGCAAACCTGACTTGGTACTGTGCATCTATTCATAAAACACTTAAAACTGTGAAAATATGGTTTACACTTAACTGTACATAAAGGTAAATGGAAAACTCAGTTCAGTACCAGTTCATTTGTACATTTTAGTGGGGGGCTTTTCACATTAACTGCCCATCTGTGTAATTTATAGTTTGACATGATGTGTTTGTTTAAAAAAATTACATAGTATAAACCCATTAAGGATCTGAGGGAAGAGAAGAAGCTTAATGTAGAACTAAGCTTTTAAAGTATGTTGTTTTTTTTTTAATCCTGGTCTTGGTGCAAATGTTAGTTATGCCTTATTCATATCACAGTTAGGTCACTATGCTGTGACATGGTCTGTATTCATGCTGCCCTAGATACTTTTGTAATTATTTGTTGCAGACTTGTGACTGTCCCTCTTAACTTTCTTTTATGTAAGTAATTTGTAAAAAGTTTCTTAAAAATTTTGCTTTTGCTTATTTAATTTTGAATAAAAGCTAAATTCATAATACTTTTTTCTTAATTATTAGGTCAATGTCAAAAAAAGAACATGAGTTTTCTTTACTGTTTTTGTGTTATGAGATGTAAATAATACAGCTTTCAAAATATTTTTGAAATACTTTTTTTTGGTCATCTTTTGACCAAAGAGTGAAGTGTCTTAAGGAAGCGCTAGTCCCATCCTCTCAAACACATTGTGCAGCCTCTTAAAAGATCTGTCCCGAGTTGCTATATTATGCAGGGAGCTCAACCTGGTGCTTTGTGACAGTCTAGAGGGTGGGAGGGAGGTTCAAGAGGGACAGGACACATGTATACCTTTGGTTGATTCATATTGATGTATGGCAGAAATGAGCACGACATTGTAAAATGATTATCCTATCCTCCAATTAAAAATAACTTTTAAAAATATCTAAGTCCCTTAAGGATAAAGATAAGACTCTTACTGACTCCTCTCGACTTAACAGTTTTAACTCCTTTGGTCCCCAGTTTCTCAGCTAGAATTTTTCAAATATAAATAAGTCATCTTAATATCAAATGTTTTTATTTTTCAAAAAGGCAGAAATGACTGCCTAGATAGAGGGCCACCCTTTGTCCCCACAATTATGCTACTCAAGAATCTTGAATAGTTGTACAGAAAATGTTCAAAGAATGAGCAATTTCCCAAAAGTACCGTGTGAATAGTTTCTGAAGTATTAGATTGAACTTTCTTGTAATAAACTATCTAATGTCTGTTAAATAACTTAAATAGTGTCTGGGTGGTATCAATGAAGAGTTTACCTATATAGTTCTCAAATTATGTATCACATGGCAGTAGGAGTTGCCTGGTGTTAGATCTCCATCTGTGGTATGTTTCTGCAGCGTGTCCCCACACACACAGCAGCAGTACATGGTCTCTGTCTATATACACATGCTTTCTAATGGAAATTCACGGGTTTTATTTATCATTGACCCTGGTTTTCTGGTAAATGATCTCCGATAGTTACTATGTCTATAGATTTTTTTTTTTAATCTTTGGAAATCTTTTTCCTCCTATAATTCCCATTCAGTTTATCAGAAAAAAAGAAAAAGCAGAAGAATCTGACATATTTTCTCTTGTCACTTTAAGTGACTGAGTTCTGTCATGAATTCCGTATTTCAAGCCAAGGTAGCTGGTTGTTGTGCTTCCCTTCTTAAACACCTGTCTCTACACGTGCAGTTTTATTCCTCAAGGTCAATTTGAATGCCTTCACTCTGCTAGAACCCTCAATCCATAACACTGTCCTTACACTTTACTTATAGCATTTATGGGGGATACCTGAATTAAATACATAAAGCCTCTTTTGCGTATTGAGACTAATGTCTAGCAGTTTAGACAGACAATCTCCAAGACATAGGTTGACCACTCAACAGAGTTGAAATAAATGCCAATTAAAAAAGGAAGTTGGATAAAGATGGTTAGATTGAGAAAGTACCTTTGTCTTGTTTTCCTCCCCAAGTTCAAAACAGTGATGGTAAAGAAAATGAAATATAATAGCGCTGCAAAACCAGAGTCAGTGTTTTCTGGGGGAATTTCTGAGATTTGGAAACAGGATCTGATATAGAAGACCAGAGGAGAACATAGCTTTATAGAAATGGAGCACTACAGGGGAGCCCCAGACTGGTAGAGAACCTCGGGCAGATTCTTGGGGAGATGTCTGGATAGTCTGGCCTGTCCCCACTTGGCCTAGGCAGCAGGCAGCAACAGCAGCTGTTCTCAGGCCAGAGCCCTGAATGTGGGCGTTGGGCCAGAGAAGACCACGAAACCATAAATAGCCACAGATCCCCAATGGGGTGGCGAGCCCTCAGGCACAGACAGCAAGCTACCAAGCTCCCTCACGTAGGCTGTGTTCCAGCCTTCTCCACGGTCAGCAGAAGCAGGCTGCCTGGGACTGAACCAGTGAAGCCAGAGGAAGGAACAAAGGCGAGCAGACAGCCAGCTCCTACGAATTTGTGGAAAAACACTCTAAGCAAAGCGACAAATCCAGTGCCCTTTGATTGGAGGACGTGCAATTCCAAAAACTACCTGGGGATCTAAAATATGTTCCTCAGACAGTCCTTGGCAACCAGTGAATGGGTCATAAAAATAAGCAGATGAGTTAAACAGAAGAATGAATTCAGACAGGATGAAGGGATGAGGCAGAGGGTGGGCTGGGGGCCTTTCCAGAACACAGTGCAGAGGTGGGCAGAGGCAGTGAAGGTGCTCAGTTGTGTTCAACTCTTTGTGACCCCATGGACTGTAGCCTGCCAGGCTCCTCTGTCCATGGGATTCTCCAGGCAAGAGTACTGGAGAGAGGTGCCGCTTCCTCCTACAGGGGATCTTCCTGACCCAGGGATGAAACCTGCGTCTCCTGCAATAGCAGGTGGATTCTTTACCACTGGCACCACCTGGAAGCCTAGTTTTTTGAATCAGTGAGTGAATCATAAAAATAAACTAAGCAGGTGAGTTAAACAGAAGAATGAATTCAGACAGAGGATGAAGGGATGAGGTGGAGGGTGGGTTGGGGTCCTTTCCAAAGCACAGTGCAGAGGTCAACAGAGCAAAGTAGGAGGGAAAGATCAAGATGTGGCAGAGAGATTCTAAGTTTTCACGTCCATCTGTACAACTTTAAGAAGAGCAGAGAAGAAACAAGTAATTGACTCGAGAGTAATAAAATAACCAATGGGCTTTCTTGGGGAATGGAGTTCATCCATTTAAATAGGACAGTAAGGCAAACTTAGGTGACTAAGAACAGACAAAATAGCAATAACTCAAATTGGCTCATCGATCCACAGGGAGATGACCAGCTCAATGAGATGAATTTTCTTCCTAAGCCAACATGTAAATGCCAACTTTTTTTTTTAAAGAGAAGACATTTATGACCAGCTTAATAAATGAGTTCTCTTAGAGACCTGCCTCCAAATAGTTTTTGGCTGTTCACCAAAAGTTAAATGTATCCTTGAGGAAATTTTTTGTGTCACGGTAGGATATTGAAAAGCTTATAGGCTTCATTTCAAAATGTGGTAGACACTCAACATTTAATCCTCAGAAAAGTCCTGTGAAGTAGTGTCCTTGTAAGGATGAAGAAACAGAAACACTAAGTAGTTAAGTAACTTGTCAAAGGATCACACAGCTAATGTATGGTAGAACTGACTAAACCCAGGCAGTCTGGCTCAACCTTAACCCCACCGTCAAGTTCTGAGACATCAAAGAAGGTCTGAAACTGACTGACATGACTCTCTGACTTAGAGGCTTTCCACTCGGGGGAGGGGTGCATTTTACAGTAATGGCATTAGAACTTGTGTCTAAGCACCTCACCACGATAGTGAGAGCCAGATCAGGCTCAGCCTTATATTTTGGGGAGCAGTGTAACAACACTAGTACTAACAACCTTTTTAGAAAGTAGTATTGCAGGGTATGTATATCACGGATCTTTAAAATGCTCTTAATCTTCAATCCTAAAGGAAATCAACCCTGACTATTCATCAGAAGGGTTGATGCTGAAGCTCCAGTACTTTGGCCACCTGATTGATACGAAGAGCCGACTCATTGGAAAAGACCCTGATGCTGGGAAAGATGGAAGACAGGAGGATAAGGGGGTGACAGATGATGAGATGGTTGAAATAGCATCACCAACTCCATGGACATGTGTTTGGGCAAATCCTGGGAGACAGTGAAGGAATCCTGACATATTGCAGTCCATGGGGTCTCAGAGTCAGACACAACGTAGCTACTGAAAAACAATCTTCAACCTAATGTTGGACTGTGCGGTCTTCTTATCCCACCTTATTTCAAGTAGCAGAGACCCAAATTAAAAACTCAGAACAAT